TGGCATCTCATGGCGCTCAGTATTAAAGAAACAGCCTGGGAGGGTGCACAGGCAGCCGGGGCACCTGTGGACAGGTCGAAAGGACAGGTAGATTATTAGATAAAGCGGCAGTGGGTTCATGGAAAGGTGGACAGATGGCCAAGCAGAAGGCTAGAAAGGCGGGCAATGGGACTCGGGCGAAGGGGCCATGACACACGCCAAGATGTGAATACAGCGAGGCGAGGTTGGGCCGCAGGCCAGAAGAGGGGTACTCTCTGGGCATCTCAGCCTTGGGGCAGGGGCCTGGGGCCACCATGACAATGAGGACGCTGCGTATCTGGGAATACTTGTATATCCATGACTTCATTACTACTGAGTCCACGGGGCACCTGCTGTCTCCTCTATAAAATCATATCAGCCCCAAGATAAGAGCTATGAAGACAGGAAGGCTGGTGGTGGCCGTTGGGGCCAGGGATGAGCGAGTGGGCAGACAGAGAAGCAGGAAGGAGGGGCGCATGTGTCAGCAGGCATGGGACAAGCAGGGGACGAGCAGGAGCGACGCCGCGGTGTTAATGCCGCCTTCCCTGGCAGGGCTTGAAGACCGGCTCCTTCTTCTACCCCGGCGGAAATGTCACCTACCAAGGCGCGGCCGTGACGCTGAGCCGGAAGGAAGGCATCCTGCACAACTATAAAAACGAGAAGGAGTGGAGAGCCAACATCGACACCGTGATGAAGTGGTTCACGGAGGAGGACCTGGACCTGGTCACACTTTACTTTGGGGAACCAGACTCCACAGGCCACAAGTATGGCCCTGAGTCCCAGCAGGTGAAGGATATGGTAATGCAGGTGGACAGGACGGTGGGCTACCTGCGGGACAGCATCAGAAACAACAGCCTCGAGAGACGGCTCAACCTGATCATCACGTCTGACCACGGCATGACCACCGTCAACAAGACAGCCGGTGACCTCGTGGAATTCCACAAGTTCCACAACTTCAGCTTCAAGGACATTGAGTTCGAGCTCCTGGACTATGGACCCAACGGGATGCTGATCCCCAAAGAAGGGAAGCTGGAGGAGGTGTATGAGGTCCTCAAGGACGCCCACCCCAGACTTCACGTCTACAGGAAGGAGTCGTTCCCTAAGTCCTTCCACTATGCCGACAACCCCAGGATCACCTCCCTGCTCATGTACAGCGATCCCGGCTACGTCATCCACGGGGTGAGTTGCCTCGGGAATGTACGTCTGGGGGGCTCCTTCACTGGGCTGCTGGGTCTCTTTCTATCGCTGTCAAAAGCACCCCCAATGTCTAGCTAGTCCCCAGTTTGAAGGCCATTTGCCACCAAAGGGACACAACCATCACCATGCAACAGGAGTGTACATGTACATATGTGTATGTGTGTGTGTGCACGCCTCGTGTGCACGTTTATGTGTGCATGTGTGTACGTGTATGTGGGTCCGTGTGTGCTGTGTGCACATGCATGTGTGTGTGTGTAGGGTCAAGTGCAGGAAGATCAGTCAGAAGAGTGACACGGAAGAGGCAGAGTGAGGGGGAGCGGTCTCCCATCAGCAGAGAGCCAGGGGGGATCTGAGGGGGAAGGAAGATGCAGAGAAGGGGCAGGGGACCCAGGAAAGGAAGCACTGGCTGGCGCAGGCGTTCACGGAGAAGCCCCTGCATGGCCTGGGGCTGACAGCTGCACCCTGTTTACTGGGGTCTCCTTTTATGTGACAGGGTCTTTGCAGAGGCTCTCTTTGGGCCTCTGATCTTTTAAGGCTCAGAATTCAGAGAAACTGAGGCTCAGAATCCCTCCTGCCCCCATGTTTGAACTCCTTCCGGGGGTCCTCTGCCAATGCTTTAGGGAGTGCTGGGGGCTCTAGGGGAGACAGCGGGTGGGCTGGGAGTCCCAGCAAGGACTCAGGACCCTCCCCTGGCAGAGACTGAACGTGCAGTTCAACAACGGGGAGCACGGCTTTGACAACAAGGACATGGACATGAAGACCATCTTCCGGGCTGTGGGCCCCAGCTTCAAGAGGGGTCTGGAGGTGGAGCCCTTCGAGAGCGTCCACGTGTACGAGCTCATGTGCAAGCTACTGGGCATCGTGCCCGAGGCCAATGACGGGGACCTCAGCATCCTGCTGCCCACGCTCACATCCGAGGCCAACAACGGGCACCTCAGCACCGTGGTGCCCACACTCACATCCAAGGCTAACAATGGGCACCTCAGCACCGTGGTGCCCACACTCACATCCAAGGCCAACAACGGACACCTCAGCACCGTGGTGCCCACATCCCACTCAGGTAAGGCGCCACCCTCTGCCTGCGCCCATTTCGACAGCAGGTGGGCATGCCTGCACCACCGTGAGCTGGGGGCCCCGCTAGCCACAGGAGGTGCCTTCTCTTCCCCTGTCCCTGCTTCTGGGCACATCTCTAGTCCCTGACGTCCCGTCACGACACCTGACCCCGTACAGTGTACTTTGTGCCTCTCGGCAGTGCGGGAGGGAGAGCGGGTGCACACAAGCATGTTTAAGGCAAGACTGCTGAGGACCAGCGGAGTGGGTGGTGAGCTTCCCCTCCAGGCTCCTGGTCCCATGGCACCTGGGAACCCACATGGCCACGTGAGGAACTCCTCCCTTGAGTCAGCCTCTGTCAGCCTCCCCCATCCCCACCCCACCCTGACCCTGACCCATCTCAGGGCAAAGGTCCCCTGAAAGCTGACAAAGTGGCAGACAGCAGTGGGGGCCTGGCTCGAGAGGGGCAGGCCCTGCTGAGCAGGGGCTGTGAGGGGTCGTGCAAAGTGAGAGCAAGGAGGCCAGTGCAGCTGGGGCAGGTGAACAAACAGGGGCACCCCACCCGCTGTCTAGGAGTTGGGGTGAGTGACATGCTCTCACTTCCCTCATTCACTGGATCCTCCAACTTTCCTTAGGGTCTGTCCCCCCGCCAGGTGGTCGGCCCTCCTTGGTGACGGGACTGCTGGTGGCTGTAATTCTTCTGGCCAAGGTCGCATAATGCCCTATCGCTCAAGGTCAGTGGACCAGGAGGTGCTGGGGAGGGTGGGACCATGCTCCCTGTGGCTCCAGCCTGACGATCCCCCCATAGACCCAGACTCACCCTGCTGCGGAGGAGTCAGTCCCCAGGACCCCAGGCAGGCCCCTTCCAGCCTCTTGAGTCAGGCTTGGAGCGGGTCTTTCCAAAACAAACAGCCCAGATGAGCCTGCAACCCGCCCAGCCTCCTCCCCTGCTGTCTGCATGCTCCACGGGGACCCTGGAAAACCTCAGAGGCCGTGGTGTGCATGGTGGGGGTGTGCGGAGAGCTGCGGGGGGCAGGTGTCCTGAGCCTCAAGGGAGCCGGCTCAGAGGACTTGACTTGCTGAGGGACAGCCCGCTTATTTCTGCCCTGTGATGTCACAGCTCTCTGGCCAAAGCAGAAGCAAGTCATTCATTCATTCTAAAACTCAACAATGAGAGCCTGCTCTGTGTCAGATACACAGTGAACCAGACAGCCGGGCCCTGTACCCCAGAGTTTGTCATTTAGGGACCAGGGAGGGCAGAGAATACAGAGGGACCAATGGCTGAGAGAGGGCCAGGGGTTGGAGGAGGGGCTGTTCAGGTCACCTGGCCTAGAATGGCCTCTCTGAAGAGGTAGATTTGGGGTGAGACTTGAATGACGAGGACAAGCCAGCCACACCAGGCCCTGAGGGACACGATTCCAGGCTGGGGAGAGCAAGCGAAGTCCCGCGATGGGACTGGCTGCTGTTGGTGCTTCTGGAAGAGAAAGATGGCTGGTGTTCTTGGAAGCCAGTGTGCGAGGGTGGCTACAGGATGAGCTTGCTACGGGACGGAGTTGGGGGGTTACCCTATGGGCAGTGGGGAGCCCCCAGGCGAGGTGACACAAGGACACACGGTGACCCGGCGTGGAGGATTAAATGGACACAATAACCTCCAGGCAGGAGCACAGGAACGGAGCAGGTGCAGCAGTTAGGAGGTCACTTGGGGGTCTGGGCAGGACATCTCGGTGGCAGGGTGGAGATGGTGCAAAATGGACAGATTCAAAATACCTTTGAGGGGCCTGAGTCTCGAGGTTGTGGATAGATTGGAGTGGGGTGCGAAGGAAATAAAGAAATGAAGGCTGGGTCTGCGGTTCAGGGCCCGAGCTGCCGGTGAAGGCCAGAGGGGTGAGCAGGTTGGGGATGGCACAGAGCAGAGATGGGTCCACGCTGCTCGCTGCTCGTGGAGGAAGAGCGGCCGGTAGGCTGGGCCTGAAGGGAGCGGGGTGCTGAGGAGTGGGGTGGGGCGTCCCCGGCCCCAGCTGATGCTCTACCACTCCCTCCCTCCCCCACCTCTGCCTCATCTCCTCCACTAGACCTACCCTCACCCCAACCCCCGCTTCTTCCCAGCCCAACATGTGCTCTTCCTCCAGGCCCAGCACCACAGGAAGCCTCCAGGAGCTGCCTGCAAGGCCCTGAGCCCGCCTTCTCGCCGGGATGGTGTACTGGACACAGATGGGCCCTGTCTCCCCCGTTGACCAGGCCCGCTGCACCGCATGTCTCGGGGTCCCCAGAGCCCCAAGCCCATGCTTGGTCATTATGGTGCGGGCAGTAGGGCTCCTGCCCGGGTTTAGGTCTGCGAGTGCATAGGCCCGCGCAGCGCGGTACCCCGACTCCTTCCGGCGCCTCCCCCCATCCCCCATCCTCCCTCCGCACAACCGGTCCCAGAGCAGCACCGCTGTCTGCGGCCGCGCGGGGGCGTGCAGGAACCTCGCGCAGGAAGGTGCAGCCGGCAGCAGATCCCGCAGCGACCCTGTCCGCCACCACGGCCTCCAGCCCCGGATGGGGACCAGAGCAGGCCGCAGGTGGCGGGAAGGCTTAGCCCATCGCGCTCCTGGCCGCCAGGGCCCGTCCCCACCTGGGCTGGCCCACTCCTGCTCCCGGACGGGACCGCGGTCGCCCGGAGGGCACTGCGGGCAGAAAGTACCCCATGGGAATAAAGAACAAACCTGATCGTTAGGAAGTCACAATAGCCAACGTGGGTATGATCCTTTTTTTCTAAAGCCTGCTGGTTTCTTACAGTCTTACCAGTTGGTCCCAATGTATAATACATTGCTAATTCCTTAGGCCGTTAAGAAACACAGGGGAACCCATTCGTTCTGGTTGGGGGGTTGCCCTGGTTGGACCACCAGGAAGAGATGGTGGAAAGGTGGGTTTCACATTAAAAAGAAAAAGGGGTGGGGGGAGGATGAGAAGGCTGTGAATTGATGGGGAAGTGGAATCTCTGAGGGCCATTGTTCAGAAAAAATAAAAAGGTGAAAACAGGGCAAATAGTAGATCACCATTGGTGGGTCGAGGAGAGAGAGAGTGAGAGCGTCTTGAGCATCCAGACATAAAATACCCCTGGAGAACTCCTAAGAGGACATGGGCATTGACTGGCTCCAGAGAGGGGAGTGGATGGCCAGACCAGGAGCAGAAGGGATGCTATCCACCGCTTAAGCCCCTGGACACTGTGGACACTGAGCCACTTCAAGGACTACGCATTCAAAACCGCGTTTTAAGAGCATGGGCTTTGGGGTCAGACAAACTCCTGCTCCAATCTGTCCCCACCACAAACTGGCCTTTGGTGGTAGTTCACCTCCCCAGCCTCAGTTTCCCCATCTGAAAAGATGGGATGATAAGGAGATTCCCCCAGGATGTCACGCGGGGCAGGGGCTCCATAGGCGGTAGCCGTGGGGATGACTGAAATCCTGCGAGGGGAGGTGCCGAGCTTGCCCAGTGCAGTTCCTGAAAATATACAAATCCCGCCGAACAATCCCAGACGCCTTCTTTGAAGGGTGAGTTTCTCGGGATCCGTTTATTCCTCCCGTGTGAACACCCCCTCCTCCCTGGGCCCTCTGTTTCTACCTGCAGCCAGAGCTCCATCTGGTCTCTGGGTCCATCCCAACCTGCCCTCCACCGCTGCCTAACCAGCAGCCCCGAGCTGGGGTCCTGCCCACCTGAAAGGTCCCGCGGCTCCCTGGCCCTCACCCAACAATTTTCCTGAACGTACACCCCACCCCTACTGCCTGTAGCCAAACCGGGGGATACCCTGCCCAGGCCACCCACACAGGCTTCTGACTCAGGACAGGCCCAGATCCGATTATCCCCCCCACCCCCAGTCAGCCTTACCTGGTTGGAGGGGGCCAGGTGGGGTATCCGAGGAGCGGTGAGAGCGCATAGGTGCAGAGCTAGCCACCGTGACCCCCAAGTCTCTGAAAGACACCCAACCTGACACTGAGACCCCACGATTAGGTGTCTGCTCAGCTTAGTCTGACTTAGGCACTGGGCTAATGATGCACTGAGGAACGCTCTTCATTAGCTTTTTCAAACGAAAAACAGCGAGAAAGAGAATGTGGCCCGTCCTACATTAAATATTCTGCCAGCCCAGATGTCGGCATCACAAGTGACCCCCGAAGCGTCCCATTGGTTGACTGACTCACTGGAGGAGCGTCCTATGTCAGGAACACAGGAGGCAAGGCAGGCTGCGTCCCGTGGGGCTGTTCCCCTTTGTGCAGCGGTGGGGTTGAATGTGTGTGGGGCACCACCCTGAGTGTCATGGCCAGGCTCAAACCCAGATCCCACACTTCAGCACTCACTAGCTCAATGCTCTGTGGCCCTAGGCAAGTTGCTGAACCTCTCTGGGCCTCAGTTTTCTCATCTGTAAAATGGGGAACATAGCAGTGCCTGTCTCATAGTGTGGTCCTAATGTGTAAAAGAGTTAATATTTGCAAACTGCTTAAAGCAGGGCCTGGCCCACAGAAGGCCTACATGTTCAGTTCAGGAGTTGCACAGAGACCAGTATGGAGCAGTGAGAAAGGCACACCTTCTCCCTTTTCCATTCACCTCCAAGCTTTCTTGTTTCTCTTGTTTCTGGTCGCTGGTACTAAGCCTTAAACGCCCCCCTTCTGTAGCACGGAGGAGTCCCAGACTCAGAGCTCTGGGTGGAACGTTACAACGCTGTTTCATTTGCAATGTATTTGTTTGCAATGATCTCCTTCCGGTTTGGGTGACGGCTGCTGATTTTCCATTTACATCTGTTATTTTAAGCGTGTTCCTTTTAAAATTAAGACAATGAATGAGTTGATTTAAAGAAAAACGTTGACTAAATAATAAGTCTGGTGGACACGACAAAATGCATAAAGGAGGTCAGCTTTGGTGAACCTGCTGAAGGGTGCCCACGCTCCTGCCTGCCTCCTCTCCCTTCCAACCATGTCGTCAGCCCAGGAAGCTTCTGGAAGGCAGCACTCAGCCTCCCGTGGCCAGAGTCCAAAGACTCCCCCCGGCCTTTCCGTAGAAGCCCACTGTATTTCCCAGGTGCCCTGCACCCTTCCTGGTCACCGACACTGTTGAAAATCGATGTCGCTGTCACCGAACAAAGTTTCTTTCACTATCAGCTCAGCTAAAACTGAGTCTGGAGAAAACCCCAGCTAAAACAAGGCAGTGCACTGCACTCTGGTGTCACACAGAGGTGACCGGGGATGATTCGCACCTATACGTCATCCACACACAACTGTCAACCAAACCCTTCATTGGAGCTGGCCATTCCAGGTGCTGGCAGTAATGGATGAGACATCTGCGTGCTGACTGGGTACTTCGTGCGTGGCAGGGTGTATGATTGGGACAGCGAAAGGCCCCTATGTCAGGAGGCCCTTCTCCCTTTAGAGCGAGTCCTGTGTGCTGTCACCAGGAGGCGGCGCCCTTGGGTTCCTCAACACTCTTTGAAGCCTTTCTCAAGCAGCTTCCGACATAGAGGGGGGTTCAGACCCTCCTGTTCCTCCAGCTTCTCCTCCTCTGGGGTCGCCTCACTCCTCAGACCGGCCTCGAGGAAGTGATCAAGAAGCATGAACATCTCCTCAAGTTTTCGATGGAGCCCTAAGTGAATACTGGGAGGAAAGAGAAAAGAACTAGAACTTTCCAAACCAGGTTCGTCTTAGGATCTCATGAGGGGCGAGATCACGTAGTGCCCTGCTTGGCACAAAGGCCGTCTTGGATCAGTGGTTCTCAAATCCGAGCGTGCCTCGGACGGAATATTGCTGTTAGACCTGACGCTGCACTGACGTGGGGTGCATGCGCACACACACATTTCTGAATCGGTAGGTCTTGGGTGGGCCTGAGAATTTGCCTTTCTGACTCGTTTCCAAGTGATTCTGCTGCTGCTGGCCCTGGCACCACACTTGAGAATCACTGCACCCGATAAAGGTTTGAATGAATGAATGAATGAATGAATGAATGAATGAAAACTGGTCTAGCCCAACCTCCTCATGTTAAATTGGGTAAGAATTGAAGCCGTGTCACCACAGTTGGCTCTGGATGGAGGTGGGCGGGGAGCACAGATATCGCCAAGTTAAGTCCCATGGGGCCTGGCCAGCCCTTTCCCACAGAGGTGCCACACTTGCTAATGCAAATGAGTGTTCTTTCCAGAACCTAGTGAGCTGCCGACCCAGGTCCTCTCTTCTCCACTGAAGATGGCCCTATGTCAAGCTGGGTCGTATAGCCAGACGACTGTGATTGTGACACCGCCCAGGCTGTCTTTAGAATGAGCCGGTTCCTCTCTAGCCAGCAAGACCCTAAGTGGCCACTGCCTTGCTGGGCCCACGTACCCAATAGCAGCAAGTGCTTTGCGCGGCCGCTGGCTGGGAGGCCAGATGGCAGAAACGTTTGGCCCTCAGCCCCAGGCCTACAGAGGACCCGAGTGAGGTAGAGGTTCTCCTGGGGCGGCAGCAGGAAGAGAGGAGGGCTGTAGGACCGACCCCAGCCTGGACTCCTCCTCGGGTGCCTCCCCTCCCCCCCCATGTCCAGGGTCAGGGGTGTGCACTGCACCACCACTCGCACACCCACCCCGGTGGCGCCGCGGGGGTGCAAAAGCATTTGTTGCCATGGTTACCTGCCGTGCTCACACGAGGTTCTGGCGCCACCAGCTCCCAGCAACGCTGTCCTCTGAGCCCGGAGCTGGGGGTTCAGGAGGGACTGGACACGGAACCCCGTGCGTGGCACACGCGCCGCACAAACATGCTGTACACTCATGTCACATGCACGCTGCATACACCTCACTCTACACATTCACCATATACACCCAAAACACATGCACACGAGTAACATGCGAGCACACACCACACATGTGCACACCGTATACACCCCACACTATACACTCCACATCCCAGCCACACACCCCATGAATACATGTACAGCACACACACGCCCTGCACCCACTCCGGACCGCGACGCGGGAAGTTGTGCATTCGGAACCGGCTTCCCAGCATGTACACTCGCAGGCTCAGCCGGCTGCTGGGGTCGCACCCGGGTCCGCGCACGCGCAGCAGGCTGGTGCGACCCCTGTCCTTTGTGACCAGCAGGCCACACGCTTCTTCGCTCTCTTTGCACCCCAACCTTGCGGGGTCACTTCAGGGGCGGGGCGGCCCTCTGGGGCGCGCACCCCCCAACTCAATGGTCAGCGCAGCCGCTCT